AAATCATAGTTTTTGCTGAGGGTATAGTAAACTTGGACTATGGAAAAGCTAATGGTTCCTCCGTGATAAAAGAAAAAAACTGAAGAGGCCTCTTCTCTGAACACAAACACTGGCTCTAACCAGCCATGTCTGGTGGGTTGGAGTTTATAATATTTCTGAATCTGGTACGCATTGCTGTTTGACCATATGTAGTAAGGTTAAAGCTACCAGTGTTTGGGAACGTTTCCTAGAAAATAGAAGTATTTCCAAAGAAATATAAAGAACCTGAGAATTGTAGAGATGGAAAAACCTGGGGGGGTCAGTTCTCCCATATCTAGAAAGGCTGACAAAGGAAGAGTTCATGTGAGTGGATGCCGTCTTCAGCGATTTGAAGGAAAATTGTTTCTTTAACTTTTTGCTGCAATGTCCTTTTTTTTTTAACTTTATAAAAAGTTTATTCATTTCTTCATTTATCCCATGAGCAAGAGAGGCAGAGAGAGACACACACAGTATCTCCAATAAGGTCTTTTTTGTTTTTTGGTTTTTTTGGAGAGGTTTTTTTGCTCTAGGGCGTGTGTGCTCGCCAGAAAGCCAGAGAGAGACAGAGAGACAGAAAGCGAGAAATCACCCCCCAGGGGGAATGGCCACACCACAACACCTTCTCCTCCATTCTCCTCTCAGGATCTTGGTCACGCACGCACACGCGCTCGGCATGAGTTTAAGCCACCGGGTCCGGGACCCAAACTGCGGTTGACTACATGGGAGTTCAGCAACATAGCCATTACGCTAACTGCTGATCCCTCCAATAGGGCTGCCGTGATCCACCTACAGCCTCAGCCAGTCCCCAGTCTGGGGGCACGAGTACCTGGCACACTTGGGGAAGTCCTTAGACACAAACCTGGAACCTTCCCATGTCAGTCACCCTCACAGAGCACGTTTACTGCTGTGCAGCACTCCAGCCCTGGGTACTGTTGTTTAGTCTTTGAATAAAAGAACCTGTTGCGGGTCAGCCTGCGATGTGGTGACTGGGGGCAACTGGATCCCACATTGCCAACTGTGGTGTTCGAGTCTTGGAATTAGCGGCTGGAAATACATGTTGGTTGCATGTGAGTGAGGGCCCAAATCCCAAAAGGAGAATGGAAGAAAAGGGATTGTGGTGTGGCTGTCTTTCCTGGGGGGTGCGTTCTCACTTGCACTCTGTCTCTCTCCAACGGCAGCAGTAAAATAAAGCAAAAAAGAGTCATGAAGTTGTTCAGAGATAATGAAAAGCACAAAGACCTCGCAGAATTAGGTAATGAACACAATGCCCAATTTTCCATTGACGATATCACTAGCTTTTGTGGTTGATTTAAAAGTCTCTCACACTTTTTCCCCCTCAACAATCAAAAGAAAAAAGTAAAGTTGGTATTCTTAAATGTTTATTTTTCTGATTTCACTTTTTAATATTATTTTATAGTTTTAAAATTTCTGCTAAAGTTTAGACTAGAATTGTTTTAAATTTCTAAGTAAGGTTGGAGAAATTTTACATATTTTTTTAAGAGAGATTTTTGCTATAGGGCTCATGTGCTTGACAGAGAGACACAGAGAGACAGAGAGACAGAAAGTGAGAAATCACCCCCTCTGGGGGATGGTCACATCACAATCCCTTTCCTCCATTTTCCTCTCGGGAATTTGGGCAGGCACACACATGAGCCCGGCGTGAGTTTTAAGCCCCCAGGTCCAGGACTTGAACCATGGTCAACTACATGGGAGTCCAACCACATAACAATTATACCATCTGCTGGTTCCTTACCCAGTTATTTAATAATAAGTTTCTATTCAGGAACATTTAAGGTTTTTCTTTTTTCTTTTATCACTAAATCATCACACAACAATCACATCTCCATTTTTGGTCCCACACACACAGTCACCCAGTGTGTTTTTCAAGCTACTGCATC